ACCAGAGGTTTTCGATTCGAACCCTAAGTATGGAAAAAATCTTATTAGGAAAACGCTTCCCCTTAAATGGGTCTTACGCGATACAACTTCGAATATAATCGGACTCCAACACGGACACTGAACACCGAAGGATAATTAACCCTACAAGAAAAAAAGGAAATATGAGAGAGAGGACATTGCAGATCCACAAAGTTTGGTAAGTTGGCCTCAACTTGAATAGAAAAATATTGGCATGCAAATTTAAATACGTTTCTATGCTCTAGTATATATATTTGTCTAGTAGTTGAGCAATGATTGCCAAGAAGAAATCAAGGGGGATAAATTAATTATCCAAAAATTTAAAAAGCTTTCAAGTGAAATAATGCTTTCATATTAATGGAGAAGCTCTTAGCTAGTAATGAGTAATGGCCACCACCCCTCTTAATTTGAGCTCCCAAATCATTTGATTTCCACATTTTAGTTATGTGAATTTACCAAAATGTATTATCGAAACTCAACTCCACAATTTGCACTAATGTAATTCCTTATATTATATAGTACCAAAAGAAACTACCATATCATTATCATTGAATGAACTCTTAATGCAAAGATTACACGTGTTTTGCATACAATTTTTTATCATTTAATTATGATTATTGTTAAGAAGAATGTTTTATGAATTTACTTGATTATTGTCAAATAAGCTTCTAACTTTAAGATCTCTTTTCCACATCTCTCTTGTCCCGATCAAAGTACAAGAATGAATATAAAATAAATTTGGAAAGAAGTGTTATGTGGAGAATAAATTAAAAGCATTTGCTTTAATTCAATTGATATATTTATTTGAATCATGATACTCGATATTTCATAAGAGGGGTTTAGTATTCAAGTGAATAAATCACTATATAATAATAAGTAGTAATATTTTTTTTTATTTAAATATTTTCATTTTGCTTAAACTTTTTGGAGTATCTTGTGACATCGCTTGAGGCATATCCTCTCTATACTGTACGTATATAACTTCAAGTATCCAAGGGTGGATATACCTCGATAAAATGTACTTGCCCCTGATGTTTACACCAACACAATAAACATATGACATATTTCTTCAGATATTACAGTCTTATAATTATCACTAAAATAATATTTAATGAATATATACTTTCATCTTTATTTATGATTTAAACTATACTCCCTCCGATTCAAAATAAGTGATCAATTTGCTTTGGGCACAGTCATTAAGGAAATACTAAACTCTAGACGAAAGTAGTTACTGTGACTAAACTACCCTTCATTAAATGTTGTACCATAGTTATAGTAGTATACTTCTCTTCTCAAATGTGAGGAGTAAATGAATTTTTAGGGATACATACATAAGAAAATTTTGGAAAAACAAATTGAATTTTTTCTTGATTATATAAATAGACACTTATTTTGGACCAAAATAAAAAAATAAATTGGTCACTTGTCGTCGACCGGAAGGAGTATTAAATTAGTATGGTATAAGCACCATATGCAAGAGTATATGGGGTGACTCGTTGCTCATCCAATAACGAAGGTGCAATCTTGAAGAAAGTAAGGAAGAAAGTTAGAAAAGCATCTGAAAATTAGGAAAATGATTGAATATATATTATATTTTCCTACTTTAAGTATTCGTTTGTTTTTACATTTATGAGGCGTTTGGCCATTATTTGGAATAAAAAAACTCTGAAAAAATATTGAGGGATATTGGGGGGGGGGGG